ACTGGAATATGGTCTGAGGGATGCAGAGGCGGTGGTCTGGCTGGGGGTCCTGGGAGTACCAGGCTGTGTTGTTGCAAGGATGGTGGCATCAGAGGAAGTCCACAGGGACAGAGGAGCCAGAGAAAAACAGAGCAAGGCTCCCGTGGCCCAAGAGGAGCGGACCACCCCAGCCCCTGCATGCCCCCCAGGTCCCACGGCTGTGCTTCCTGTTTGGTTTCCCGGAGCCGTTCTGCTCCCTGCAACTGCATGAGCTCTGGCTCTTGTTGTAAAATAACTTGTCTTCACCCAGAATAAGGCAGGCTGGTTTAGGATTCTATGTGAGGGACAGTCCCAGAAGGGCCAGAATGATCTCATAATAGCTTCCCTTTCACACACCCGTGGCATGAAGGCCAAGGACACCGAGTTTCCAGCACATTGAAGTTTTTTTTTTTTTTTTTTCCTTTTTGTCTTTTTTACTGACCGGTAACGGGATCGCAACCCTCGGTGTCGCGCCCGCACCGTGCTCAGCCAGTGAGCGGGAACCGGTCTCCACATGGGATCCGAACCCTACTCTCCAGTGCGCCACCGGGCCGGCCCCACATTGAAGTTTTTAAGCCACCACATGCCACCCAGATAAGTGTCTTCCTTTACTCGACAGCCACTTCCATTGCCCCATAAGAGACAGACTTAGAAAGAGGCATTCGGAGGAGGCAACCTGATGGGAATGCCACAGATGTATCTAGGGCAGATGCAGTTCCAGAGCCTGGCACAGCCAAGTAGAAACCGTCGGCAGTGGGGTTTCTGCTTCCGGCTTCCTCTGCAGGCTTCTCTGGGGTGAGACACAGGGCACGTCTTCAGAGGGGTTTCCTCTGTCATCATGGGTGGACTGTTGGAGTCTGGCTCCCTTGATGGAAGGTCTTTAAACTGACACAGACCCCATGCCAACCTGCCCAAGCCTTTGAGTCTCCCTATGGCTCAGGAACCACCCAGATAGTCAGGGGGTAAGAAGAGCACAAAGGAAATGGCGGCTGCCAGTGTCCATGTGGGGGTGATGAAGCCCCAGTGTGTTGGGAGCTCAGGCACAGAGGAAGCCCGCAAACCTGGGGCTGAGAGAGAAGCCCAGTAGAAGCTCCTCAGGATGCTCTGAGAGTATCTGTGGACACCTAGCAAGGAGTTTGAAAAACAAAGATAACTCTGGAGAGGATGTCAATTCGGTCCCTGGAAGAAAATAGTGACTGTTCTAATAGTCATGAGTCACCGACTGTCCACAGATGGCATAGACTGGGGTTTTCAGGCCGTTTTCCCGCTGTTCACATGGTGGGTGCTGCTATCCCTTTTTCACGGAAGGGGAAACCCCAGCTCTGAGAAGCAAGGGGGCTTGTCCCGGACTCCCAGCTCACAGGTGGCAGAGCTGGTACAAGAACCCAGCCGCAGGATGCTCCGAAGTCTCTCTCTAGGCCCTAGTGTGATCCATAAATTCTCAGTGTGGGCTCTGGAATCCGCCCTAATCTGTTAAGCATACGCTCTTAACAAATGTCAGCTGTGTGATGATTGTGACAAGGAAACAACTGCATTCGGACCCCACGCTCCAGAGGCTGGAGAGGACTGTGGATCCAGCCTGGGCCTCGGTGCAGCCTCTTCCACATCACAGTCTGACACCGAGTATGTATATGACATGGCGACACATGCCTGCAAACACCAGCCCGTATCCTTCTGGCTTAAGTGCTCTTGGCATACATCTGCTCAGATGAAACCCCAGAGGCAGTGCAGAGGCGGGACTGTGCCTTCTCTCCCATCCTGTGTAAATTCCAGAGAGGTCGCAGATGACCATTCTCCACATAATTTCTTGTCATCCTATTGTGATTGTCTCTGGCAGTTTGATCAAAGCCTGATCACGGGGTCGTGGGTAGCCCTATTTTCTTAGAGTGAAAGGTGAGAAAATGTAGGAAGAGGACTAATATTTAGATGCTTACTTGGTGCGAGGAACTGAGCTACATACATTTTTAATATTACTTCATTTAATTCTCAGCACTCCCAAAGGAGGCATCAAGACTACCATTGTCCAGACAAGGAAGTGGACACACAGACGTGGACTCTACAGGATTGAGGCGGGAAGTTGTGGGACAGGGTTTGCACACACACCTGCACAATTCCAGGGCCCGCACTCTGCTTTTTAGAAAAGTGCACCAAATGGGCCACTTTCCACAGTTCATCAGCCACTTACACTAATTTAAGGTTTCCAGAAGAAAAGTCAGACCCGAGGGAACCCTGGATTTACATGGTAACCACGCTGAGAGATGACCCACCTGTCCGTCCCCATTGCACACTTCAGTAGTGCAGTATCTGCTGCATAAGCAGGAGAAAGATAGGTTCATGGCTTTGCTGGTGTCAGAGACAGTGGAGACTGGTGTTTTTCAAACTGTTCTGCCTATACAGTCCTAGGTACTTGCAAGTTCTGCCAACATATTAAAATTGCATTTCTATTTTAATGATAATAAAAAAAAAAAACCCTTATTTTTCCTAGTTATAAAGACAAACTTTCTCTTTGTGGTGGTAACTTGTAAGTAAAAGTGAAATGTCACAGAATAACATTTTAGGCAGGTGTGTGTTACACTGGAGGCTACCAATGTATTTTGGGGGGTTGCAGTATTTTTTTCCTCTGTTGGTATGGATACTCAGTGTGAAATAGCCAGAGTGCACGGATTCCTCTTGGGTACCGAGGCATTCGATTGATGGAAAATGGCCATCAGCCTCTCAAGACTTCTTTTCTGATTAGATTTCAAAAGGCCAAGGTCCTGTTCTGATCCTCAGGTGTTCCTAGGCCAGGGGAAACAGTGAGAACTCACTGAAGTGCTGGAGCTGCCGCAGATGAAGGGAAAACCCTCCCGAGGTGGACTCGGGAAAACCAGCAGGTTTGAGAAGGGTTCCCTGTGCTGAGGCTTCCCTGCTGAGGGAAATGTCAGCTGGTTTAGCAGAACGAGAAGGGCTATGTGCGCTGTGAGAAAGACAGCAAGTACGATCCTTGGTAGGATCACACATACCCAGATGGAGCTGTAAAAGCTGCACATACCCAGATGTAGCTGTAAAATTTCATTTCATACACTTCCAAATTATCTGGATTCTTTTCAACAAACATTTATCACTTCTGTAAGTTACCGTGTAAAACATGGACTGCAAAGATACATAGCCAGTCCAGGGTGACTAATGCCTCTGGGAAGCAGGTGAGAGGGACAGGACCACAGAGGGTGCTTATCTGAAATGTGCTACTTCTTAAAACAAAACTGGAAGCAAATGTGAGGAGCCGCCAACAACCGTGAGCCCTGGCTAGTGATTCTAGAGTGTCTGTCATCTCACCCTTTCTATCTTCCTTCCACCGAGGGAACCCCGTACGCTCCTCAAGCCCCACACACCTGATCTTGGACTAAGGCACATGGCTTGATAAAAAACAGAACAAGGACTGGCTGGTTAGCTCAGTTGGTCAGAGTGTCATGTTAATAACACCGAGGTCAAGGGTTTAGATTCCCCTACCAGCCACACACAGACACACACACAAAAGGCAGAACAAGTCATCATGTGCTTAAGTACAAATTTAATAAAGCCTTTGCTCATGTCTTAATCCGTAAGTTATCTACGAAAACAAAAAAGCCCATAACTTTTTAGAGCCATCAAGAGCCATTAAGGTGTCAATGAACACCAGCTATAAAAGTACAGTCAGTGTTTTAGATAGTGCAATATTTCCAACTGTTGAAAAGAATTTAAATGAAATTACAAACTACACCTCCTCATCAAAAAATAAACGGGTAAAGTTGATATTGGTGCTTATAAACCACTCTCTCCCTAATCCCCCACTAGCTCTGATTCTCAGGTAATAAAAATCAAGATGGGATCAATCTTTTCTATGCAGGTGGATAGTTACTAGGCCCCAACACATATGTACGAACCTTCTCAGTGTACACACATTCAGAAGAAATCTTCAAAGGAATCAAGTTTTAAAGAAAGTGGCAAGTCCATAGAATCAGAATTTACTAAACAATCTTAAATAATAATAATAATAAATTCCTGTATTTAAATTCCTTGCCATCTTTCCATCAAAGTGAAGCACACATTCTGTTCTCCAGAAGCCCAGGGGCTCTGTCCCGGGCAGGACACAAGGCTCCAATGTGGAGACAGGCCTTGCCCGCTCTGCTGCCAACATGTCAGTTCTTGCTGGAAGGGGTTCTGCTGCTCCGAAGAGACGTGAGCCCTAAGCTGGCACCACAGAGCAGAGAAGGGCCCAGCACTCCTGCCTTCAGTCTAGGTAGTGGGGATGTGGAAGGAGCACAAAGAGGTGGGAGAGGGCCTTTGCTTCATCCCCTGATCTAGAGTAAAGTTCTAGGGCATGAGAAAAAAAAAAAAAATAGAATAAAGTTCTCATGACAAGGTAAAGAATGAGGGCAGAGGAGCACACTGGGTTGGAAAATAAAGTGAAAAAAGAAAAAAAAAAAGAAAACCAGCCCAGAGGGTGTGTGAGTTTCCTCAGCCTCATGAATCGTTGTCAGTGCAAAGGGCTCCTGGGTTCCCTGTGCTGAAGAAGGCCAGGCAGCAAGGCCCAAGTTTCTTGGAATTTTGCAGTCTATGGAGCAAAGCCACTGCCCAGATGGAACAAGTACCGTAGGTCAGTGTTTGTTTCTTCATTAGATAACAACAAGCGGGGCAGACAAGCAGGAACAGAGGCAGCTGCATCCTTGGGAACTGGCAGGCTTTGGGTAACAGCTAGTGCATCCTGGAAATGGAGCTGCTCTTAAAGGCCGGTGGTTTTTTCTCCCAAACCAGGACGCTGCTGTGAATGCATAGGATGGAACCAGCCAGTGGAAGCTCCTTGGCGGCTCGGCCTGCTGAGGACTCAGAAGTGGGGGAGGGCAGCAGTGTGGAAACGTGGCATCAAGGTGGGAGCAGTGCCCTGAACTTCCAGTGCTCCACAGCCTCCCCAGCAGATACCTTGGCTTCTCTGGGCAGCAGAAGGGCCTGGCTGTCTGGGAAGAGGCGGCTGTGGACAGGATGGAGGCAGAGACTTTGTTGGGTGCATAGAGGCTTGGCAAGGCCTTACCTGAGTAAAGGGTTTTCGGAAACAGAAGGAGAGGATCTCGCGTGTAGTAGGCTTCATGTGCTCAGACCCATGTCATGAGAACCATTCTGGACTCTCAGAGCTCCTGGGACTTGTTCAAACACAGCTCACTCAGAGGGTTAAGGGAAGACAGACTCACAAAAAGGCCAAACTATAAAAAAGAAGCCCCCCTGCAATCACCAGGAAAAAGGACCAATGTGGGCAGAATCCGGTGGTTTATTTTCAATACCCCCTTCCCCTTAGTATCACCTGGAGAATGCTGTGTAGTGTTATCACGTGCTTCTAAAGTTCCTGAGGCCACAGGGGAGTCTCATGGCTATAAAGAGGGTCTGGGGGCTGATGTCACCTGGCATGTTGGTCACGCTCTCAGGAGCTGAAGGTCTGGAGTCCACAAGGGCAGGTGGGTGGGTTGGGCGCAGGAGCTAGGAAAGCTCGAAGCCCGTGTTCATGCTGATGGCATAGCGTAGCTTCTCACGGAGGACGCTCTTCTTGCTGTAGTTGGGCAGCTTCAGCAGGTTGAAGCAGGTGGAGGAGGTGGGCAGACGGCCGCCGGGCTCCCGCTTGCGGATGGTGAAGAAGCCCCGGAGGACACTGCCCAGGGTGTCACCAGTGTCCTACAAGCACACAACACAGCCTTGGGTAGGGAGGTACCTGCCTGGAGGCCTGGGCACCAGGCAGAGTGGGGGAGCTGCCCTATGAGTGCATGCACCGCTGCCTGAGGTCAGCTGCAGACTCGGGACTACTGGCCTGAAGGGCATGAGTACAGGAAGCAACTGCTGCTCCTCAGGGCCTGCGCGGGGGAATCCCATGCCAAGTAAGCTCATGGAAATGGGGCCATCTGGCTAAAAGCTAACTGTCGCTTAACCAATTTTCAGAACAGAATAATGTAAAACTATTTTAGGTACCAAAACACTTCTGAATGCAGCCTAACATTCCCCCCTAACCTTGCCTAAGACAGACGGTAACTTGAGTCAACTTTCCCTATGTGTGGAGCTGAGGATCGCCTAGTGTCCTATACGAAGAGGGATCAGGAGCTCACACTGGGGCACCATGAGAGGCCATTGGGTGTTTATGGGGGTGGCACACTTATCTCAGCACCCTCTATGGTCAGCCTCGCCATACACAGAGCATGATAACCCCTGTGGCATTCGTTCTCTTTTAGCAGATGAGGAAATGAAGCAGCTTGCCAAGCTGCGCATGGCCAGCCTGGGAGGAGCCAGAACTCCACCTGCATCTGTCCACTCCCTGAGCCCTGTTCTCACCCTCTCCCATGCTGCCTCTAAGGTCTGGAGACCTGGCCAGACCAGCAGCTGCTAAAAACAGCATGCCCTCACCCCCCACCAGGTACTCTTACCTGAGGAAAGCCTCTCCTGACATGAGAACTGTGGAAGCCCCATCAGCTGGCTCTGAGGAGCCCGCTGCCTGCCTGCCTTGCTGAGACAGTGGGCACAGCAGATGACCACTAAGAGGGAAGTCAAGGAACCCAAAGCCAGCTCTTACCTGATCATCTGACACTTCGACACAGCGGATGGAGAAAGGAGGCTTGAGGTAGGCGAATCCCAGGAGCGGCGGCCTGGAGCAGCTGGTCACAAACTGCAACACAAGGCGGGTCAGAGCGCACAGAGCAGGCTCTCACTGCCATCGGGAACACTAGCTTTCTTGGTCATTTCTTGGTCACTACATCACTAACTGCTGTTTAACCAGCAGCAGGTGGCGACAGACAGAGGTTCCTGGCCCACGAACTGGGACATGTCACATCTCTCTCAAGGGTGTTGTTCACTGGGACAAAAACACATGAATTCCATACCCAACAGACATGACTAGTGGTTTGTGGGAGAGCGTGACTGAAGAGTTTAGAAACAACACAAACTCCCAAGCAGGCACTGGTGTGATGCCCGAGACAGGTCTCCAGAGGACTGCCACGTGGTCAGCAGGAACAGAGTGATGACTGACACCCTTCCTTAGAGAGAGACTGTGCAATGAGAGCACTGGAGAGAGCAAGGCAGAAGCTGGTGGTGCACGCTAAGTGTGGTGTAGGGGGACAGGCTGTGCCCAGAGCTGAGGCCCAGAGCCAGGCACAGGGAGCCCTGGTATAGCACCCACCACTGACCGCACTTGCCTGGCATTGCACCTGGTGTCCCGCTCAGGCATGCCCTCCTGAGCACCAGGGCTGGTTTACAGAGTGGCCTCTGTGAGCTGGGCTCCTGTGGGCCCCTCTCCAGGAAACTGATCTGCTCTCAGCATGCTGACAAAAATCAGGCCTCTGGAGCCAGCAAGGTACTGCGCAGCCCTCGTGGGGCCTGTGGGCAGCCAGCCACACTTTCCTGCTACATCCCGGGAATTCCTGGCATTCTCCAAACAGCAGCACCTGTGTTATTTCCCTAAGTGTGCTAGCTCATGCCTGGACATCAACCTAGATATCCAATGATAAACCTGCACAGAAAATTCCTAAGAAACCATTTTCTTTAATCCAACAGTGACCAAAAATGCTCTCTCTTCTCTAGGGGATATAGGGATCTGCTACTTACAACACCAAGCTATGCTCCAAAATTCAGTGGTAAGTTGAGAGTTTGAGTATTAAAATAAAATATTCCCATTTAAACAATGATATAAATGATTGTGATATTCCTGAGACCACCCCAAGACAGTTTTTGTATGTCATGCTTCAAAATAAGTTTTTAAAAAAGCACTGACAAGGGCCGGCCCAGTGGCGCACTGGATAAGTGCGCCGCTTGGGAAGCGCGGCGGCGCTCCCGCCCGAGGGTTCGGATCCCACATACAGACCGGTTCCCGCTCACTGGCTGAGCGAGGCGCGGGAGCAACACCGAGGGCTGCGATCCCGTTGCCGGTCCCCGGTCCGGTACGGGGGCAACACTGAGGGTTGCGATCCGTTGCCGGACACGGAAAAAGACAAAAGACAAAAAAAAAAAAAAGCACTGACAAGATAATATTCTTATTCTAACATGTTCCATTTATAAACAGCACAGCAGCAGCAGCAGCAGCAGCAGCAGAAGCTCACACACAGAGAGAATGACTGTCTCTCCACACTGGGCCGAGTGTTCAGTGAACACAACCTCACCAAACACTTCAGCATGCTGTGTGTCGGGACTGTGGTTAGACCTGTTTTAAGGATGAGCAGACAGACACAGAAGTGTCTGCATATCAATCCAGGCTGGCTCAGACCTGCTGCCCACTGCAAATTGGGGCTGGTCAAAGGAGGGAGGGGAGCTTTCACCCTCCTGCAACAGGACGAAAAACGGAGGGCATGGAAGCCTCTGAAAGCTCTGCTATCATTACATCTAAAAGCAGCACAGTCACATCACTTCTGTGCAAGAGTTACATTTCCTCCACCTGGCTCTGGAATCTGTCTGCAGTCACAGAAAAGGGAAGGCACTCGACAAGGAAGTGCAGTTTTGACAACAGGCTATCCAAAGGCACAAACATGCCCACTGTGCACATGGGCATGTGGTTATGAGACCCTGGCTTTCCTCTCTTTCTAGGAGAGGCAGGGATGCATGGTTTTACAGTTAGCAGAGACTGCTCTGCCTGCAAGAGGCACTGCTGGGAAAATGAAACCAATTCTCCTCAGGATCAACCTCTAGAATTCTGTCCTCCTCGAGACCGGTGGGGATGACTAGAGTGCTTGTGTATCTGCTGGACTAGAGTTAAGGCCGTCTCAATAGGAGTGAACTATCCTTAGAATGACCAACCAAGCAGAAAGAAAACCAGCTGCCATTTCAATTGGTGGTGATACTGTCTACGTTGCCTCAACAATGGAGGTCATGTGAGATGGTTCAAGAAACTCAAACGCCCCCAGAGTATGGCAAGATGTTCATCCTATATTGTCAAGTAGAAAAGCAGGTGGTAAAATGATGTGATTCCATCTTTATAACAGTACACACATATATCACACACACATAGACAAGTGTATGTGTCATCTAGTGTCCTATAAAATACTTACACTTTGCTGATTTCAGGAACAGAAAACAATGTAGTTACATCAGGGGGAACATTTTGAACATTCACAACTTCATGGTTAACAGAACAGGGGAGCTGGTTAATGTCAGCCACTCAATTTGCAAAAATATACATCGACATCAGCCTAATCAATCATGTGTGTTTTATTGGGACACTGTGTGTGTTGTACATGCATGTTTTACACTAATGAGAAAAAGGGTACATGGAGGTAGTCCCTGGTGAGTAGAAATGTAGATTGTTTAAAATTCTACATTGTAGGATATAGATTAGTTAAAATTTTGCTTGTTTGCATTTTATTAAGGTAAGGTAACAAACATCGCTTACTTCTATAATGAAAGGAAAGAAAGAAAACAGATGTCAGCAAGGCCAGCAAGAGCAAAGAGGAGGACAGAGTGCCACACCCAACAGGCACGCCCGCCAGTGCAAAGGTCTTGTCCCTGCAGCCAGGGGCACCCAGCAGCTCAGCTTCACCCCTCAAGCCCCTCTCTGGCTACTGCTTGGCCTATGTGGGAGGCCTACCTATGGGAAGGAGGATACACTGGATAATTTCATTTATTCCAGTGTAAATTATTACATCAACTGGTCTTCTAGGTTTAAGATAGTATCTATGAACCCATGAATGCATGCACAGGTAATAAGTAAAATACCTTCAGAAACATGGCTCTCTCATCGGGCGTGAAGTCAGAGGCCAGAATGTCCCAGAGCCAGATAATGACTCTATGACTTCCATGGAAACCACCGTAGTACACTGTGTGCTTCCTGCAAACAATCCAGACAACGGGCTCAGCAACATACTACTCTGATGGGCACTTATGGACACAGGTGGCCATGGCAAATTAGACAAGGTGCACAACCAACAGACAAGCTTGGTTAACACTACTAACTTCTCTTAAAGCCAGAAGTTCATGCCTTAATAATCCCATCTCCTTGAAAGCTAAATGGGCAGAGATTTTGAAAGATGGTCTTGCTTTTCCCAAGCAGAAGTTGACACAAGATCCAGGATCCCATAACACCTAGAGCTTCAGAGAACCCTGCAGGCCTCAAGACCTGCTTCCACTGTCAGTCTCTAGGAAGCAAGTAGTTGAACTCTGACTCCAGGGGAGTTCAACCAGTGATCAGGGAGGAGGAGGACATTTAGAGATGGGCTCCGGAAACAACCCTCCAAAAGGCACCCCGTGAAGGGAGCATCTCACTTTCCAGAAGGCCTAAAAATTTCACCCTTTCCCCCCTTGCCTGCCCCTTACTTTAAATCTTCCAGATCAATCTCAGCATTGTCACCAGAGATGAGACGCTGCAGCTCAGGGGTTGAGAACATTCGGATCCACTCGGGTTTGATAATGGAACGAAATCCGCTAATGAGGGCAGCTGTCTGATTTTTGATTTGAGTGTGCATTCGAAAATGTGCCATCAGATGGATGTAGCTAATTCTGTTGCCAGCAAGGAAGAGAAAACAATGGAAATTAACAGGACAGGGCAGGTTGTTACCAATGGGCTGAAAGATGAGGCTAGTCATTTCTGAACCATTTTACAAAAAACGCAAAAAATAGGACCAGAGCATTTCACCAGAACAGTGATGACAATGATTATAACAGCGCCCCTGAACTGCTCATCCTGTGCCACTATGGATGCGTTAAGTGTTCAAGGGCATTACCTCTTTGCTCTTCCCCAAAACACACGGTCATACCACAGGATAACCCCCAACTGTGCTGAGAATCAAAGTGAGATATTCTACAGATAAGAAGAGGGCCCTTCTTACAAAGGGTTCTTTTTGGACTTTTATTTAATCTCATCCCTCTGAACATAAGTTAAGATACAATTCAGTCCTCCAATAAGCTTTAAAGTAGAGAAAATTTGTTTCATGGTGAAACTTCAACCAAAACCTTGCTAATCTGGACCAAGAGTCTAAAGCCATGAAAAGGCAGACCTGCAGGATGTTTGTAACAAATACAGTTGGGTCACCTGTAGGTTCAACTGGAAAGTCAGAGTGAGTAACAATGGTTTCAAGCAGAAGGTCTTCTGGGTCTGCTTTTATGAACACAATGATCTCACCTACAACTGTATAATACATCCCTTTTGAATAGGGTGAATACATCCTATGGGCTTGGCTAGCATCACTGATTTCTTAGTAAACCACTTACTTAGAGATTAAAAAACTTGAACCCAGCCCAAGTACAACTCTCACAAATTCCAAATTAGTACAGTCCAAGTAAATCTGTTTTACCCCACAATGCTCAGCACTAAGTTTCTGACTTTAAAAATATCCCTATTTAAAAAAATTATCCAGCAGCAAACCTGTACATCAATACATTTAAATATGAATTTTCTATTATTGCTACTCTTTTCATGTATTCTTTGAAACAGATTACTTATTCCATTTTAGAGAGCGGGGAGGGGAGAGAAAGAGAGAATGGGAAACAGCAACACCCAGTAAGTGCAATATCAACCATCATCCCTAAAGAGGGGGGACCAGTATTGCCAGGCCTTGTAAGTGAGTCTGCAGAACTGAATACCCTTACACTCACACTGAGACTTTTCTAAGAAGATGTAAGAGTTTCTGAAATAAGTTTCCACAGAGGAGGTTTCCAGGCAGGACATGAGTCTCACTGCAGCACGGCCCACATGGGCCTACCTCCTCTTCTGCTATATGCTGCAGCCAGAGTATGTGCTGGGAAGAATGAATGACCTACTACCATCATCCCCATGCCACAACGCCTGGCAAAACATGGCCTGTCGGGGAGTTGTGGCATTTATGTGACATGTCACGTATCTGATGATGGTGATCACCACTGCTGTCATTTATTAAGCCCCTCCTGTGAGTCCAGTATCCTGGAAGGTACTTTACACACATTACCTCCCGTGCAACCCTCTGAAGGAATGGTCAGAGGTTGCGTGTTGCGCAGGATCAGGACTCACCCCTACTATCTGATGCCCAAGCCTGGGTCCTCTCTACTCCCCCAGGCAGCCCCTCCCAACCTACGCTTTGTTCAAACTAATGCCCCATGGCCAAGGGGCAAAGCTGGTAATTTCAATCATGATGAAAACTGGGTCTGTTCTTCTGACTGTTCTGACAGTCTAAATAAAAAACTCCCCAAGCATGCAGACTGATCAAACCACCTGATCTGAGAGGAACATGATGCTCAGGAAAACTGGACTGTAACATGCATCTGATTCAAATGACTCTTCAGGTGGGACTGAGCCCTCACTTGTCACTGAAGAGACCAATGCTCAGATTAACAGTTCAAATGCTCAGCTGAGCCTGGCGGCAGAAGATTGACAGACTGACAACAGGGCCTACTCCACATGCCAGGGTCTACTGCTTTAATTAGGTGAGAATAGGATTAGGTGGAGACAGTGCTTTGAGTGCTTTTCTTCTAGGGACCAGAAAGGTCGACACTTAGGATACATTCCTAAAAGTCTATTATCTGTGACAATAGCTGCTGGGCCTCAGAGTCTCCTCCGATTCTCCATGTCTAAATACCTCTGTCTGCTGTATTTGAATTCATCACTGTGTCTTCTCAAGCACAGTGTTTTATACAATTGCCACACGCTATCATTCCACAATGATCTGCCCCTCCAAGATGTCTTTCTGCCTCCATGCCCTCTTGGTTCAGGACAATGTGCCTGAACAGCTCAGAATCCATCTGTCTATGTCTAGAGCTGTCATTAAATTCTTAAGATCACCACGGCCTGGGTGCCTCTGACCTTAGAAGTGCTACTGCAAAAAATAAATTGTCAATTCTTATTTTGCAAATGGAATTTAATATAATTTTGGCCTATGAACTGTAACCAGTAAATTCCATTATGATATTTATGGCCTCTTTCTACTTCAATCTATCTTAATAAATTCTCAAAGTAAGCCCAGAGAGCCAGAATGAAGTCTTTTCAAGTGGTGACCTTAAAAATCTAATCGCTATACTCACTTATTTTCATTTGTAACAGGAATGGTCTTCCCTCCGGGAATCAGTTCATGGCAAACAAGCTGGGGGAGAAGATGGGAAGTAATTACTAGAGAGAATTCTAATGTGGAAATAAAGCTTCTTGAAGATGAAAGAGCCTGACTCAAACATTCATTCTAATGATGGAATTAAGATGGTATGTGTTTTCACAAAAAGTCAAGGCTGAAACATCAACAAGCAGACCCTATGTGATCAATATGAAAGGTTTCTTCTCATTGGATCCTGCTCAAACATTTGTATTAAGGCTCCAGGATGTCACGGAAGGGAACATGTTAGCATTTAAGCACACAGCAGGGTGGTTAAATGAATGGTTGGTATATCCATAGCCTGGAATACTGTGCAGCTATTAAAAAAATATTTTTATTGAAAGGTGAAAAAAAGCCAATTATATAACAGCATGCATGGTACAGCATCATTTCTGGAAAAAAAATTATATTCATGCCCAGGATCAAGTCTGGAAGGACACAGGCAACACAGTAACAGTGGCACCCTCCAGGCACTGGCATTAGAGGTGGTTTTCATTTTCATCTTTATGTTTATGTTGTAGCTGAATTTTTTGTTAGAAGTTTCATTATTTTTGAGGAAGGCTCAAAATGTGATTAAGGATTTATTTGAAAACTCTATAAAATCAACTGCTCCCCTCAACTTCAGGAAAATTTCTGTGGGTCACCTAAAAATCAAAGGATACCTAATTTTAAACCTAATCCTAAAAGAAATTCTATTGATACACTATAACTCTAAAGATGTAGAAAGGAACAACAGTGACCCCTAGCCACAATGTTGTCAATATCTAGGAACACAAAAGAGGATTTTAAAGCTAGGAGGGTCCTTAGGAATCACCCAGCCTGGTTTTTCCCATAAAGGGTTCCAGGGAACACCATGTCTGTGACATTCTTTCTTTGAGAAAAAGAGTTCTGTGATTAGATTCTGTGATCAAAGAGTTCTGTAATGAATTGGGGAAACCTGAGGTTAACACAATCACACTAAGGTTTCTTTCTCACAGGCTTCTCAAAGCCCTTATAGGCAGCCTGCTCAGTGGCCTTTCAGGAGGAAGATAGGGCATACAGGGTTCCAAATGGTGTTTGAAGACACTGGTCCCATGAAGAACTCACATTTGAGGGCCGGCCTGTGGCTCACTTGGGAGAGTGTGGTGCTGATAACACCAAGGCCACGGGTTTGGATCCCTGTATAGGGATGGCCGGTTAGCTCACTTGGGAGAGCGTGGTGCTGACAACACCAAGTCAAGGGTTAAGACCCCTTACCAGTCATCTTTTAAAAGCAAAACAAAACAAAATGAAACTCTCATTTGGCAAAGGAAATAAGAAAAATGGGGCTCAGGGAGACCGAGTGATCTCTCTGAGGTGACACAGGCCCAAGGCCAAGAAGCCAGATTTGCCCTAACAGGCTCATGGCGTGGTTTCTCCAGAGCAGCCTTCAGCACATTATGCACACAAAGCCTCACGCAGGTGCCTTCACTGGGACAGAACTGGAAGGGGTAGAGGACACTTTACAGAAAAGCCAGAAGGAACAGCTGTGGGAGGAAACACTGCTGCTGCCATGATCTCAAGGGTTTCTCCTTCCTGCTCTGCTCTTCATGATGAGTATGAACAAGGACAGCATTCTATGAGAGCTACTTCTCGGGTGGCTTCGTCCGCCTCTTTAAGTCATAATCCTCCATTTGTAAGGGCTAATCCTTGCCATGGTAACCAAAAGCAATGTTATAAATGGGGAATTACTGCTTCCATCGGGAATTACCCTAAAATGTGATATAAACAAAGCAAGGTCTCTGTGGGGAGCTCTCCAAGAGGTGAGCAGGAAAAGGCCAGGTTGACTGGGAAGGACAGGGGGATGCCCTCCCTCCTGGCAAGGTGGATGGGCGAGGGGAGAGGGAGGGGATGAGAGACCAGAAAGACAGACAGATCCTCAGTTTGTGGATCTCTCTCCGAGGACAACATCAGGAGGAGGGCAGGTCCCAGGCAACCCATGGAAAGCAGGGAAGAAGAGCTCAGCGAGACAGGCTGACCTACCTGACCCATGACGTCCTCATCATAAGACAGCGTCAGGCCCAGGTCAGCAATGTCCCCGTCATAGCGCTAATGCAACAGAAGAGGAGAAAATGTTGGGGCCGAGGAGCATTATATTCTTGAAGAATTTTTTTTTTTTTTGTCTTTTTCCGTGTCCGGCAACGGATCGCAACCCTCAGTGTCGCCCCCGTACCAGACAGGGACCGGCAACGGGATCGCAACCCTCGGTGTTGCTCCCGCACCTCGCTCAGCCAGTGAGCGGGAACTGGTCTGTATGTGGGATCCGAACTCTCGGGCGGGAGCGCCGGGGAATACATTGAGAAATTGTCTCCATCTTGCAAATAAGGAAACAGAGGAACAGAGAATGAGGCCAGGTCCACACCGGTACAGGGCAGGAGGAAGACCAGAGGGTATTTGGGCAGGGACTCCGAGGGGACACCTGATTTCATCAGGGCCAGAGACTGAGGCCCCTGTATAGAAGCTGTTTCCATAGAGAGACAACGACGAATTATTCAAGAGTCAAAGTTGTTTTCCCCGAGTGGCTTCCCTCTCTCTATGGGCCCCAGTGCCCGGCCTCTTCTGTTTGAAAAACGTCCTGGCTTCTCTAGGACTTGTGGGGGTGTGAGATAAGTGTTGTTTGGGTGGCCCCCTTCCTCCATGCCAGGGCCAGGTGCCTGGCAGAGCCTGGGCCCTGGGAAGGTGCCCCGTAGCTCTGGAGCTTGTTGTGAAGTTCACAAAAACTGGCCGCTGATGCACTCGCACCACAGCTTTACTTCCTTCCTGGGGAGCAGGACACTCCAGGCAGAGGGTCAAGTGCCACCTGGAGGTAGTCCCACCACGGCTCTCAATAGACAGGGACCAGGAGCTGTGTGGGCCTCACCTGGAGCCTGAGAGCAAAGAGCAGAAGCTCAGACACTCTCCCTCTTTATAATGCTGAGTATGACAGCTCCCGGGGTGACCAGGTGTCCGGCATCACAGGAGGTGCTCACATGTACTACCTCATTTACCATCAACAGCAACCCAATAACATAGGTTTTATTATCCCCACTTTACTGATGAGAGAACAGGAGCTTAAAGAAGTGAGTGGAATGTACACGTTCACATAGCTGGCTGGGGAGGAGCTAGTCTTGACCACTTGCTATGGGATACGTCCAACATTTTTTTTTTTTTAAAAGATGACCGGTAAGGGGATCTTACCCCTTGTCTTGGTGTTGTCAGCACCACGCTCAGCCAGTGAGCAGATGACCGGTAAGGGATCTTAACCCTTGTCTTGGTGTTGTCAGCACCACGCTCAGCCAGTGAGCGAACCGGCCATCCCTATATGGGATCCGAACCCGGGGCCTTGGTGTTATCAGCACCGCACTCTCCCGAGTGAGCCACGGGCCGGCCCATACGTCCAACATTTTTGTTCTTGTTCTAGTCTGCAGGCCAACTCCCTGGCATCTCTGGCTCACTTTAAACCACAAATAACAAAAGATTTTAAAACCATCAAAGCCCACAAAATGCTGCTCTCCTGCAATGGGAACCAAGCCCCAGATGGCAATCTGGCTCTGGCATACTACCCCTCACACCTCAGGGGAGAAGAGGGCTGGCTTAGGACTTGAGCTGGCCTGGGTTTGATTTCTGCTTCTACTGCTCAACTGGTAATGAGACCCTGGATAAGTGACTTCTCGAAGCCTCAGTTCTCTCACCCTCAAATAAATAAGACAGCAGCAGCCATGTCACAGGAATAAATGAGATGACACATGCAAAGCACCTAGCATTTGTGTCCGACAAATCTTGCTCCTGCCCCTCTTCCCTCCAATTTATCTTAGTGACACGTTGTTTACACGGCTGGGCCTGGTCACATAAGTGTATATGAAGCCCACGGTACCACTAGCATTTTATTTTAAACTTCAGTTCGGTACACCTTAATGTGCCTACCTCATACACAGCCTTCCCCAGCATCTTCCCCACAAACTCGAAGAGCTGCAGGTAATTCTCATGAATGTAGGATGTGGGCGAGGGGTATAGCCTCTCATCCCCACTGGTTGTCTGCAAGGCAAGAGGATGGGGAGAGGCAGAGAGGTTAAGTGCTTTGTAAAGAACAAGCCCAACTCTTCACTTCTCATTTGTCACCTCGAATTTGGCTGTTGTCAACCCTGCTGTCACTCCCTTTAAATACCTTGAACAGATTGAGTGCTGGGTCAAACACCCTCTTGATGATCTCTTCTAAGAACTCCTTGAAAACGCCATCTTGATCAATCCCTGCCTCATCCACTCCGAGGTCATTGACGAACTTCACGCGGATCACACCCTTCATGGCATGCTGGGAGAGCTGCCGAAGCTGCTCGTAGCCGTCCTGCCAAGGGAATTACAGCCCATTAGGAACCCAAGGCCTCCTGCATAATTCAGGGCTCCCTGCTCAAGGCTCCTTCTCCCCTGCAGAAGCTTTCCCAGTGTAATTATGAGGTGTGCAAGTCAGGGGACGTCAGTGCATGAGAAGAGCAGTCCTCATCTGCTTGTCAATGAGTCTAGCAAAGGTAAAGTTCATTTGGGGATGTGACGGTATCGCTTTTTGGCTTTTGGCAAGGGGAGACTGCCCTCAAGAGGGCAGAGAGCAGAGAGATGGAGAAATTAGATAAAATGAGTCATGACAAGCTCCCTAGCAAAGGAAAAGTTCATTTGGGGATGTGACGGTATCGCTTTTTGGCTTTTGGCAAGGGGAGACTACCCTCAAGAGGGCAGAGAGCAGAGAGATGGAGAAATTAGATAAAATGAGTCATGACAAGCTCTTGGCCATCAGACAGATGGAAGAAACCAGGACAAAATGAATCTCTCTCTTTCTCTTTTAATGCTAAGAGTGTCTTTTAGGTCATGGTAAAAAAAATTAATAAATAAAAACTAAACTTATGGAACACTTAAAAAATAAAAACACACAAAAAACCCCAAAACAAAAGTAACAAAAAGAAAAAAAAACCCAAACAAAAAAAACCCTTACAGAACATTTAAAATGAAAAAAGTACCCCCCCATCCCTAAACTCCTGGTACCTTTTCCCAGATCATAAAGGCCTTTTTCAGTCATGCTGAGGTATTTAGGTTATATCCTGGGGAACACAGTTTTATGTACACAAATCTGAGAATTACTTTTTATGCACATAAAGTTTGAGAACCATTAAGTTAGATGAACAAAAGGGAGAAATAGGAAGTCAGCATGCAGCCGTAGCAGTATTTAACCATTTGGCCTAAATTTAAGATAATTATTTTGGCACTGAGTTGAGGACAGGTGGAGGACTCCAACATGTTCCTGTTAGCCTGCAGGATTTTTTCCATTCTGCTTTAAAATTATGCCTCCCTAACCTTAATACACATTAGTATTTAGGTTTATCATTATGTGGATTAAATGAGATGGTATGTGTGAAAGCACTTAGCATGTGGCCTAACTCAAGGAACACTTGCTGCATTCAAATCTCAATCTTGCTCGATCAATCTCACAGTAGCCTCTTCTTTAAAAAGTCATATAGAGGAAATTGCCAGCTGCCTCCTTTTATATATTTCCTGCCCTCTGGGAACTGTGTGGCTGTATGAAGATTATGTATATGCCTCCCAGGAAGGTGAACGTGAGTCTGGCATCCCAGAGATCACTGAGCTGGGAAAAGGAGGCCTGGATCACTGATACCTGAGTGACCTTGATTGAAAATCTAAACTTCTCCGCCTCAACTCTGCCTTTGACAGGGCAAGGGGAAAGAGTTGGACAAGAGTATGTCTGAGGTTCCTTCCAGTTCTGAAATGCTAGAGTTCTAGCCCAAAGTCACCCCTCTGGGAGGACAAGCTTTCCTGCAGGATTTTAGATTAACACTTGGAAGCTGAATATGGAAGCACGACCTTCAATACAAACCATAAGGAAGCAGAATAAAAGCTCACGGGCCAGCCCGGTGGCGCACTGGATAGTGCGCCGCTTGGGAAGCGCAGCGGCGCTCCCGTCCGAGGGTTCGGATCCCACATACAGACCGGTTCCCGCTCACTGGCTGAGCGAGGCGCAGGAGCAACACCGAGGGGTGTGATCCCATTGCCGGTCCCCGGTCCGGGACGGTGGCACCACTGGGGGGTGCGATCCGTTGCCGGACACGGAAAAAGACAAAAGACAAAAAAAAAAAAAAAAACAAAATATTATTATTAAAAAAAATAAAAAAAAAAAAAAAAACAAAATATTATTATTAAAAAAAATAAAAAAAAAAAAAAAAACAAAATATTATTATTAAAAAAAATAAAAAAAAAAAAAAAAACAAAATATTATTATTAAAAAAAATAAAAAAAAAAAAAAAAACAAAATATTATTATTAAAAAAAATAAAAAAAAAAAAAAAAACAAAATATTATTATTAAAAAAAATAAAAAAAAAAAAAAAAACAAAATATTATTATTAAAAAAAATAAAAAAAAAAAAAAAAACAAAATATTATTATTAAAAAAAATAAAAAAAAAAAAAAAAAAAAAAAAAAAAAAAAAAAAGCTCAGGATAGCAGATGAGTCTGATATTGACTTTGACTCCCCCTGGTGTTCTAATCAAGCAAAGGCTGCTGGGCTCTCCTGTTCTAACAACCAAACCACCAATCATGAGAACTGGGGTAAGTGAATAAACAATCTTCTCCCCTTCCTAATTCAATTTCATGACAAAATATCCTCTAATGGAAAGAGGAAAATGGACTTTGCTTAAAACCTAAGACTTTGCTTAAAACCAAAGGACCTCCCTCTTTTGATGTCCCTGAGGAACGTGTTTTAAAAAGTAGGCCCAGTGTAACTGGGATGTCAAGTGAATTTCCCATGAACGATGATATTTGAGGAGGGAGTCAAGGGATTCTGCCACTCTCAGGAGACACCACATCTACACCACTTGGCTCTTCCAGGGGGTGGGTGATGGCCACATCTAAGTGGGTATGATGGGTGGGGGGACTGATGACTTTTATAAACAGGCGAGGTACACATGATTCCAATGAGGAAAGTGCTGGAGGAAGAAGTTTCTATGACACAACTGGGCTTTTTCGTTGAGTCAAAAATAAAGGTTGCAAACTGGTGGCCCATAGGTTGAATTTGGTGGGAAGACAGGTGTCATTTGACCTTCCGGGTACTTCTCCAAATTTAACTAGTTCATAACATGAAAAGATCTGGGGATTTCACACAAAACCCTGAATTTTGGCCTGCTCTTAAAAATTCACAGCATGATGGAGCCCGCACCTCCATGTGGCAAGTTGGGAGGAGCTGAGTGGAGGTGGCCTCTTTTGGGGGAGGCATGTGTAATTCATTTGCCCACCCATCTCTATCTACTGCTCCCCAACACTAAGGCTGCATGTCAGTGTCATTTCTCAACTCACTCAGGGGGGTTGTTTTTCTTAAGGAGAGGCACATAAACTGAGAGGGTCTAAAGCAGGAGAGAGTAGTAGAAGTGGAGAACACAGTTGGCCCTCTGCATCCGTGGGTTCTGCATCAGTGGATTCAACAACCACGGACTGAAAATATTTGAAGAAAAAAATGCATCTGTACTATGTGCAGACTTTTGTTTCTTGTAATTATTGCCCAAACAATACAGTATAACAACTATTTATGTAGCACTTACATAGTATTAGGTATTACAAGTAATCTAGAGATGATTTAAAGTATACTGGAGGATGTGCATAGGTTATATGCAAATACTGTTCTACTTTATACCAGGGACTTGAGCATTCAAGGATTTTGGGATCCTCGGGAGGTCCTGGAACCAATCCCCCACAGATATAGGGGGACAACTGTATTTCTATTTGTTTAGCATGGAAACAAAATTTTCCTGTGATGAGACCCACACAGCCAGATTTATTCATTCACATGACCTGCAGGGCCCCTGTGGGTACTTATGCTCCTTAGGCCTACTTTTAAGAATGTCAAAAACATCTACTGTTTAACACACACCGCCTTCCCCAGCAGCTCTTGGTGTCAATCACCAATGGTCTGGGCAACTAAAACTAGCTTTCCAGTAAGGAGTGACACAAATATGGCATGAATGCACTGTAGGAGAAAATAAAGACGTGAGGAGGAAGGGCTACTGCCCAGCGCCATGTGCTGGCTACATGGCCATATGCTGTCGTGGGATCCCATGACTATTCTATGCTGCAGAACATGCTAATGAGGAGCTGTGGCTGGAGTGTGATAAAAGGTCTAAAAAGCAAACACAACAAATAAATTAAGCCAAGCCTCTCCTGGGAATGGGGACTTTCAGCTCAGTCGCCAACTCCATTGCTGGCAGGACCAGAATGTGTGGACAGGTTTGTGCACTACACAACTCTGGGAAAGGGTGTGGCATGGACAGCACAGACATCATAGGGAGGTACAATGTTTATTACAACAATATTCCAGCAGACTGTAGTCAGGGTCTTGTTTCAACAAAATCATTGTGACAATTTTCTGACACATGGAAGTAAAGCACTTTGAGGACAGGCACCAATTTCTAATATATATGAAGTTACCAGATGGTGGCAGCCCTGGACAATGGGTTTGGCTGTGGCGGGCCACTTCATGTGTATCTCATAAGTTTATGTGTACAAGTAACTTCTAGCTCTGTGATAAATCTATTTCTCCGTATACCTTGGTAAACATAACCCCTCCATTCCACCTTTACTACATGCATGGTTGGGAGTGTGTCCACTGACATGAGAATGTCAGTGCAGCCGCTGGAGCTGGCAGTTCCTTTCCTCATTTCAAAGAGGCATGAAGAGTCTGATGCTCAGACCAGGGGCCCTCATGGGGTAAAGGAAGACACTGTGGATCTCCAGCACTGAGGACATGTTAAATCAAGCAACTCTTCAGAACCATCAACAGGACACATGACCCTTTCCCTGCCTCCAGAGCCTTGGTTTCAGTCATTAGATCAAGGAGTGACAAGAAAAGTTCAGAGGTAATAGACCATCTGCTAAAAATTCTACCTATTGCAGAGCACACTTCTCTGTGATAGGCTTCCGTAGGCCTCACCACTCACCTCCAACATCCGCGACCGACGGATAGTGATGTGAGTGACGTGGGGGGAGGCAGAGCTGGTTTCCACAAGCCCCAGTTTCTCTTTCTCTTTGGTAACCATATTTCGGAACAGAAGAACTCTCTGAAAATGAGCAAAGGTGGGAACAGAAACAGGGGTGACATCTGCTGATTCCATAAAAACGCTCTGTAATATTACTGAAATTTAAGTCACATGAGATACAACCAGAATAGGACACTTTGGTATGTGCTACCAGTTAGAAGTATCTTGTGAGAGGGTAAATATTCCCAATAACACTTTTGGGAATCAGAAATATAGCTAAATACATGCAAAGGAAAAAATGTTCCAGAAAGAGTGATCTGGCTGCAGCTAGAGCCCATCTAGGAACAGTCCAGAAAATCATTCCCCTCATTCAGTCAATAATCCACCATGGAAACCTGCGGCAGAACAAGTTACAAAGGCTGCTTTATAAAGCTGTGCCTGCTTTAAAGGAAATCAATATTATGAATTTAAAAAAAAGAAATAACTTCCACTGTCAGAAATTGAAAAAATGATCCTACAGTTTCAATAATCCACCATGGAAACCTGCGGCAGAACAAGTTACAAAGGCTGCTTTATAAAGCTGTGCCTGCTTTAAAGGAAATCAATGTTATGAATTTAAAAAAAAGAAATAACTTCCACTGTCAGAAATTGAAAAAATGATCCTACAGTATAAAGGTCTGTGACCTTTTTATCTGTTCCGTGTCTTCAAGCACACCACAGTCTCCCCAGTAATATTTCTCAATTACTGTTTGAAAAGAACCTTCTCTCCTTATTCTTGAGATTCTGATAAACCCTTTTGCCCCATCCTGGATTTGAGAATCACTACCGTAATAGCATTCAAATAAAGTCAGCTGAATGAATACGAGGGTACTTCATAAAGTTCATGGAAGGATTCATATCTTTTAATTCTATTTTTCCATAAACTTTTTGAAGTCAGCTCGTACATAAATCTAACCAGAGCTGCTTTCTTAAAAATGGAAATCTCCCCCAAAGTCAAGAGCTTTATTAAATAATAAGAACGGTAATAACCATAATATTAATATCAGCAATAGCAATGGGGTTAATTATATGGGGGGTTGGTTAGTGCATTTTCATTTAAACATTAACTCTATGAAGCATATATGGTTGTAATAGAAAAAGTAATTGCCAACGGCCTCCTAAGAGGAAGGGAGGATGGTACCCAGTGGAGGCACTATTGTTCAGCCAAGCATCTCGATGTTGACTGGTTTACAAGTCTAGAAACAAGGACTGAAGTGCTCTGAATAGTATCAAAAGCTCTGTGGGCTCCAGCGCCATGTGGAAGGGGAGAGTGGACTCAGGACCCAGTGAGGTAGGCTGGTGATGTGGATGAAGGCTGCTCCCACCTCTCCCTTCTACAGTGGGGTAAACTGCAGGACTTTTGGGAACAGGTATTTAAGTCACGTGGGGCCGTGTTGCATGTGATCTAGCTGCTTCCTATGACCTCAAATCTTTAGCACAGTCACTTGAACAAGGGGTGCCGTATTGTGAAACATGAAGTGGAAGATGCGTTTCACATCCAGTCAATCCAGTATGGGGCTGAGACAACTTACATAGAAGCAGAACTGCAGAGACAGAGGTGACCACGAAAACACCGGCCTCCCAGGAATCACAAAAAGCTTGGATGAGGCTCTGGATTTCCACGGGGCATGAAAGGTTTGAGGCAACCTTATCCACCTGGGAGACCTCAGTGACTTCAGCAGACATCTGGCTAAGGATCATTATCCCCATTTTGCAGATGAGGAAACTGATTTACCCAAGTTCACACAGCTAGTGGGCAAGGGGGCCAAACTCCAATCAGAGCCCACACATGGACCACAACACTATGCAGCTGCTGCCCCGTCCCCCTCCCCCAACTGCCACCCCTGAAATTAGGCCTTCCAGGCTGAAACAAGGGATGAGGTCTTAAGTTCCGGTCGGGAGATGAATTGCGCATAAATTGGTAAAACAACATAGTGAGTGCAGAGAATGAAGCTGTGTTTGTGAGCCAGGCAGAGCTGAGGCTTTTAAAATGTTAAAAGCGGAAAATAAGAAAGGCATTATAAGCCACCCACTGGAGTGGGATCAAGAATGAGGGAGAGTTCAGCATGTAGGGCAGATGGCACAACAGTAACAGATGAGAGAGAGAGATCCTATTACCCTCCTGTGCGCTCCAGCAAAAATATTTTAAGGGCAGGGGGAAGCACACACAGTTAAGAGGGAAGTGAAGCCCGAGTCGGGAGGAGACAACAGGACAGCCTCCTGCTCTGAACACACCAGGCCTCAGATACTCTTCCCCAAGACCAGTTGGTGCAATCACAGGGAGCAGGACAGGGGCCAGGAGATGAGGAAGGTCCTATTTTCCCAAGGGAGGAAATTTTAGGAACCAAGGACAAATAGCACTGATGGTAATCTTAAGCAAAATTCAGAAAAGAAAAAGAATGGTGAGGATTAGCATATAGCCTGGGCTCACAAGTCATTCCAGTTCATCTCAGTGGTTCTCAAACTTTCTTATTCACAACATCCCTATTATCGCAGTAATTTTTTTCATGGCACTCTTAGGCCAGAAGTAATCTCCAACAGTTCCTTTTACTAGGTAGTTGTGTTCTAAGAACCTAGTGACTATTTAAAAAATGCACATAAATTAAAACATAAAATATTTTTATTTTATGCTTAAAAATCCAGTTTTAGGGCTGGCCAGTTAGCTCAGTTGGTTAGAGCGTGGTATTGATAACACAAAGGTCTTGAGTTCTATCCCTGTACCAGCCAGGTGCCAAAAAAAAAAAAAAAAAAAAAAATTGGATAGGCCCAGGGGATGAAGGGCTGGACATTACCTCAAAGGAGGAATAGTGAGAGAAGCTAAGGATGCTACACTTGGAGAAAACAGAAGGCTCAGGAGGTAAACAGGAGCTGTCTGTAAATCTTGGAAAATTTATTCCATAGGTTAGAGATACCACTGTTAGGAGTTGTTCAAGGGCCAAAGGGTAGAAGTTGCAGAGAAGTAGGTCAGCTTATGATGAGGAAGAACGTTCCATCAATTGTGAGAGTAAAGACACAGAATGGCCTGCTTTGCAAAGCTGTGCATTCTCTATCGGAAGCAAGGTCAGGGATATTGTTGAAGGGGTTCCCTCGAGGAGGGCACGTTGGACTAAGTAATCTCTGTGAGGTCCCTTCCTCTCTGAGAGTCTGTCAGGTGCAATAAGAATTTAAACAGCCACATCATTTACACATCACTGCTTGAGGGGAAAGAATAGCAACCGTAAGTATTAAAGTCAAGATCAAAACAGCATTGGAGAGAGTAGTGAGGATTAAGTATCTCTGAAAAGTGAGATTTAATGTACAAAAAAGTTATTTATATTCTTTCCTAAAAGAATGTCAGTTTTGTTTAAAAAAGAGAAAGAAAGAAAGAAAGAGAAAGTGGTACAGGAAAGAAAAGAAAGAGCACACCTAGACTCGTAGGAGCCTCTTCTGAGAGGAGTGCAGTATTGTCACGACATCCAAAAGACATTTCTGGAATGCCTGCTACTCACTAGGGACAGGAGCAACGCTTTCCCTTATTTCTTCGATGTCATAGTACTTGACCCTTCCCAAGTTTCTCATGTCCCCTAGGTATGTGACACCACACTCTGCTGATTTCCCTCCCTCCTCTGATTCCTTCTTCTCTTGTACTGGCCCTTTAAGTGATGGGTCCCAGAGGGTTCTGGTCTCAGTCCCCTGGTCTTCCTCATGTCCCCTAGGTATGTGACACCACACTCTGCTGATTTCCCTCCCTCCTCTGATTCCTTCTTTTCTTGTACTGGCCCTTTAAGTGATGGGTCCCAGAGGGTTCTGGTCTCAGTCCCCTGGTCTT